ATACCTATTTCCTTTGCGTTCACAACTTTTGTAAGACACATTATGCTTGGCTATAACTTTGTTTGTGAGGAACATTGTTTTCCTGTCACCCTATTTTGAAATTTTACCTATTATGTTTTAATGTTTTTCATATTGGTACAACTTTAAACAAAATAGTTAATTTAGATAAGCAAAAATTGCCACAGAGAGATTCAGCCAAAAGACTTCCTTAGTCATTTCAGGATTCAAAAGATAACAGTGAGTTGGTTGAACAATGTATGGATATTGATTACCATTCAAAAACATTGATTTAGTCTCTATTTTTGTCAACAACTCTGCTAGGCGTTGAACCAACAGAGATGAAAGTTAATCTCTGCCTCAGAAATCGGGTGTCAGGAAATTTACCCCACAGGAGTCTGAGGCAGGACGGGAAGAGGCACAAGGAACCACAGGAACACAAAAGATGAGCATTTAGTCACACTCAGCTTGGAAGGTTTCCTGGAAGAAGACCTTTGGCTAAGCAAGGTATTTCAATATTTATTAAATAAAATTTAACCAGGGGCATGAACATTCTAAGCAATAGGGCAAGTGTGTGCAAAGGTCTGCAGGGGTGAAGGGTGCTGGCTTATTCTTTGAGATGGGATTGCTTAGGAAGTGGCAGATGGAATGCATGGACTTGGTATGCCATGCTAATTATTAGAACTGTTACGGAAGGCAAGAAGAAGACTGAAGAATTTTAAGAAGGGAGTATCAAGAGTTTAGAGCAAGGAGAAAGGAAGGTCGCAGGCACTGCAAACCAGATCTGAGGCGAAACACTTCAGACTAGTCATTCATTTAACAATTAGGTTAAGGCTAGAACTTAAAAGTCTGATAATAGTATGGAAGCTAGATAAGAAATATTTGTTTAACTTTGCCAGCTTTAATGTGTATTTAACTTGGAAGGTTTAATTAGTGTCTTTGAAGACATTACTTGGGTGACAAGTAAAGTAATTCATTATTGAGGTTATTTGTCAAGGTTTCCAACAAAGCACTTGAGGCATTTCACTGTTAGAGATCAATTGTCAAGTTAAAGAATAACTGGTAAATAGAAATAACCATTGGTAGAAATAACTTAGTAGAAATCCAACTGACATAGTGAAAATGTAAATGTGTTACCAGAAAATAACCTAATAGAAATCATCAGGGAAAGCCTGTAACCAATTTTATTCATGATGATTCTTTTGTGAAATTTATTGGGAAAACACATCAAAGATATAATTTTTAAAAAGATGTTTAAAATATAACAAAAGCAAGAGTTTTGCATTTTGTTAATTATATCAACATCCTATTATAGAGGCAATAATGTGTAGTGAATCGACCAGGATCTGAAGAAGACAGGCAATTTAGGTAACTTGGGCAAATAACATTGTTAAATTAGTCTGAGCGTGTAAATTGCATTAGTCTAGCTGTAAAGCATGTTAAATATGATATAATTATGCTGCATGTTGATTGGAAGCAAAGTTTAATTATTTCAAGAGAAGAAATTATTGAAATTGAGACCTAATATAAACTTGTTTTTACTGAATATTAGACTGAGTAACCAAAGATAATATACGGTAAATATCAAAGGTTCTTTTTGTTTTAATACTGCTCTACCTCCCAAGAAGGATAAGCAATAATAAATCTTTCAAACAAAAAATGGGGGAGGGGAGCGGGAGCAGTCACTCTAAAACATAAACAAAGTCTTTAAAATAACACACAGTCAGGTTAACACCATTTCCAGGGGTAAGCAGATACTGCTTTCTCCGATGAAGAGTTTACTATTAAGGGTATTTTCAAAAGCAAGACACTTGGAGTAAACAGCGAAACAAAGGAGAACTATTTTATTCAGAGGCCTGTGCACATATGGAACCTGTTAAGGGGATAGTGGCTGTAGAAAGAACTATAAACGAGGGTGAGAGACACCTAGCCTGTCTCAGAAAGGAAGGGATGGAGGCAAGAGTGGTTTCAAAAGCAGACAGTGGGCCAGAGATCAGTCAGATGGGATGGGGACAGGCTGTTGGGCAGATAGTCTTTTCTGTTCCAAAATGTTCAAAGTTAAGGGACACTCCTTACCACACTTTTATTTCATACAAAGAATGAATTAAGAGGAAACCAAGGACCAGTCAGAGTTTTTTTTTCTGGAGTTACTGTGTCATTTCTTTGATAAACTTTGCTTGTCTGTGTAATTCATTTCCTGCCTTCTTCAAACCAAGGCCCTCGCTTGGGGTGCTCTTCCTCACCTTTAGCTTTCAATTAAAAAATGTGGATTAATTAAGAGTAAGGTTCTTTTTACAATATACAGTTATCAATGGTAGATTATCTTCCTCTGGAAATTCACGGGAAAGATCAATATTTTTCGATTTTGGCTTATTTACCAAGTTTAGGACTGTCTGATTATGAAAATGATCATTTCACGATCCACTGAAAATTAATGGACACAGACAAAAAAAAACTGGTTAAGTTGGCTTGCTTTGGCTACATGGAATAATGGCATCTGATGAGCCAAGCACACTGGACTGGCACCTGACAGGGAAGATAAATTTCCTAAGATATTTTACAGGTCTTACATGCCTGCCAGCTATGTCAATATTCAGTCTCATTAACCAAGTTCACAGAACTTCTAGACCTTATCATAGACACCAGGAGAAATAAAAATCAAGCAAGAGAAACACTTTTTTGAAGAACTGAATTGCTAATGGAGAAACCAGAATAAACACCTAGTAACATGCAAAAATGGTAAGAATGCAAACATACAAATCCAACCAACGAGAGAGTGCACATAGTCAGTGACTTGGCCCAATCAGGTGAGCATGTATGCTGCAAATGACAGGCTTTACATACGCTCCACCCAGCCAGCTGCAGCTCTTCTAGGCTTAGGGCCAGACATGCAGGGAGACTATGCGGTCTGGCTCTGCAGGGCACAAGGAAGTACCAACCTGAATGGCCACCTGCGCCCTTGGCATTCTGGCTTCTGTAATATAATTGGGAGCTCACAATTACCTGCACTTTTCACTGGGCTACTTATAAAGGGAAGTTTGTGAGAATGCCATTGTTGGGTATTCTATAAACCCAGTTTATCCCAAAGAGAAAAGTATGCATCCAATAAGAGGAAACACATTAATTACCTATATTATCTAATCTGCATTAAGAGAATTATGAAAACAGTTTTAACTATTGTAATACACAGAAAAATGTTATTTTAATTTTTATATTCACTTATAAATGAATAAAAACAAAAGTCTCTCTTCCATAAAAATTAATATATAAGGACTTATGAAATACCAACCGCTAATAATCTAATTGATCAAGATGATTCCCTTAGATCATTGTTTCTCAAAGTGTGGTACACGTATGGGAAGAGTTTGGTGAGGGTACACGTTGCATCAGAGTTTGGTGGGGATATGCACTGCACTGTGCTTAGCTGCGCCTAATTCTATGTTCTCATGAGTACAAGGGGTACTCAGTGTTACGAAAATTATAGAAGGGGTACACATGACAAAAGTTTGGGAAACACTGCCTTAGGTACAACAAAAAGAAAACATAGAGATGCAAAAACTGCAGATACACCATTGAGCAAGGACAATTAGAAGAAGATAAGACTAATTGACCCAAGAAGTGTGGTTCATCTATCTTACTGGGAATACATTTTATGAACAATCTACTTTCCCTATTATTTCTGAATCCTGCCAAAGAACCTACTTATGAACATGAATGACAAACAGTGCTGACTAAACATAAGGAGTCATGACAAACAAGGGCAAGCTTTATTGCAGGACTGCTAAAGGTCTGTGGTTTTGGAGACAGGTCTGAGTTCAAATCCTGGTTTCACCGCTTACTAGCAATGCGACTATGGGCAAATAGCTCAGCCTCCTGACTTTCCCTGTCTTTTCCTGTCAACACCCAATGTCTCCCTTAGAGTTTATTGTGAGGCAAAAACAAACGCAAAGTGCTTCATACAGAGATTGACACAGATGAACTAAGGAGTGTATCTATAAGGACACCAAGAAGCTTTCCTGAACAGAGTACAACTTCCAAAAACAGAGATTGCTCTGGCATTTGTTCTGAGATGAACTTCACATTTTGCCACGCTCTTTAGATATAGATGAATGGTAGGTAATGAATGAACTACAAGCAGCTGAGTGATTCACACCCAAGAAAGAGCTTAACAACTATTCTCAATTTTTCTCCTTATTTATCTAAATTAGAACTAAATTTACATTTACTGTCTATCCCATGGGTCCCAACTTTGTCTGCACTTTAGAATCGGAGGTTCTGCTGTAATGACTTTGGGCTGAGGCCTCGGCACTGGCTGTTTAATTGCACTCTCCTGATGATACTAACAGCCGGGGCCCAGAACCAATAGTATAGCTAACCACGCTGGAACTATTTCTAAAAAGCAGCTTTGCCAATCCTAACTTAAGAACCTTATTCCAGCCTACTCAAGACTGTGGCCAGTATAACCAAATCACTCCTTTCTTTATGACGTAGAGAAAGCTAAAAAGCATATAATTAGCCAGCAGCGTTTGAATGGAAGGAAATTCATAAAATCATCATTAAAATTTTTTTTTTAAGATTAAAAAAAAATAGGGCATTTTGCTTGGATAAAAATGAGTCATGCCTTTTAGCAGATTTACAGTGCAATTATTTAATAGAGAAAGGTATCTTTTAAAGGCATTTTATTTTACAGTTATTCTTCCCCTTTTTATGGTGAAGCTACGTAAAGCCAACATAACTATCTGAAAGACAGACTTGAGGCAATTCTGATTATGTGGCTTCCCAGCTCAATGGAAGGTGATCCAGTCCTCTTATCAAGAGAGCCACAGTGATTGGAGGACTGGTGGTTGGATCGGTTCTCATGGAACTCTACTCTAACTTCCCTCTGTTTCACTGAGTGACCCTGAGTAAGTCTCTGAACTGGTCTTCAGTTTAAGGTGCCCTCCACACAATGCAATCAGCACACAGTACCACATTCTTAGGAATCATCTTCATCAGCAGCTTACCAGTGTGCTACCATCAGTCCAACGGAAGTCATGCTCAAACATCTTGTCATTGAGGCCTATCCACTGGTAGTCATGGCCCACACCTGAAAGATGGTAAATAACACGGATATTTTATTACCTTCCCAAAACACATAAAAATATTTTCAGAATGAATCATGCATCCTCTTTTCTGGCTGTATTTTTGTTTAGTTATTCATACAAAATTTCCATAGTCTATCTTTTGTCCTTCTGCCCAATGTGCTTTAAACTAAAAAGCTACAAACATTGTGAAACATTAAAATAACAGACATAGACATATTATTTTTCTAGCAGTTTATAATTATTTCAATGGTTTTCTTCATCCTTACTCATGATAGAAACTTTTGATTCATTTTTTTTTTATTAAGTTATGCCATTGGTGCCCAGTGGTTGAGCATTGATCTATGAACCAGGAGGTCACCATTTGATTCCTGGTCAGGGTGCATGTCTGGGTTTTGGGCTTGATCCCCATTAGGGGGTGTGCAGGAGGCAGACAATTGATGATGTTTCTCTCTCATCATTGATATTTCTATCTTTCTATCCCTCTCCCTTCCTCTCTGAAATTAATATATATATATATAGATAGATAGATAGATAGATAGATATAGATATAGATATATAGATATATATGTTACATCATTGACAAAAATTCAGTGACCCAATAAAACATGACAGATCTTACCCATGCTAGCCTCACTTTGAAAGCCACACATATTTCTTCTCAAAGCAGTTTAGACAGTGAATATCTAGATCAGACAGTCCTGCAAAATTTCCTCAAAATTAATGGCTTTCACCATATAATGAGTCACTGGCAAGAATACTATGCAAAAAAGTTAGGTGAACCTCTATTCAGATTGTAAATTAGCAATCATATTTCTAAAAGATAGGAGGCATCATGAGAACATATTTAACTGAGCATCAAATAATGTCTCATGGAGCAAAAAAAAATCTACATATTTGTTACATGACACTAGCTGCCCTCATCTTTGCTATAGTTTAGAGAGTAAGTAAACAGCTTAGGTAGTAAGTTTCATTAGCATTGTCTTATCTATTCATGTTCTTAATATGAAGTTGACTTGCTATGGTCTAAAATAAAAGAATCTTGGATGAGAACTAATTATGCACAGGGGATAAGAATCAGGTTCTACTAGCAATTCAGTTTGAATTACTGGGACAAAAATAACTGAAAGCAATTTTCTCTTTAACTTTAGACAACATATGCATGTGTTCTAAATAGAGTCTATGAATGTAACCATCAGAATTAGATTGAACCATAGATGCAGCCATTTTTGTAAGTAAAAAACTGATCAAATAGCATACTATTTCACCTCTTATTGCAGGCCAACCAAGAAGTGCCTTTCTATGTTATAGTTGAATATTCCCCCAAATGGGGGACTCATCCCAGATATACGATTTTAAGTAATTCATAGATGAAGGATTTAATAAGTGGAATCACAACTGAAAAAGCTACTTATTCTTTATAGTTAGATGGGAGAGAAAGCTAAGAAGGTGATGAGAATGAATGAAGCTTCAGGAAACCAGTGTATGTTTGGTACATACGATTCACAAACATTTGTTCTTCGTGAGACAGAATGCTGGTGAGGTGGGCGCCTTGCAGACGGCATTCCCGTTCGGCTGCATCCCATGTGCGTCGATGCGCGAAGTACTTATAACACTGCCCTTGGAATTTGTGCCAACCGTAGTCACATGTCTCAGTGTCTGGGGAGAAATAAGTAAGAGACTTCTTAAACACATCTACATCATCTAAAATTGGCTACTGATCCAAATGCTAACTGAAGACCTAAGGCCATATCAATGCAATATCCCTGCAGTAATGGATCCATAAAATCTGGCATGATGACAAAAACATTATGATAAAGAGGACAAATGATTCCTGCCAAGTGGATGGCTGTACTGCAGGTCCTCGAATAAGATCTTGTTCTGTTGGACTTCATTTTGTTATAACATAGATGGGATGCTGTAGGAACTTAACTGTTGATTATAACAGTCAGCCTATGGTTAGACACAGGCCTGACACACTAACCTGAAATAAAGACGTCATTACACTGAAAGTCTCAGAACCTATGGAGGATGTTAAGTGAGAACTTACTGTCCATCTTTGGACTGAAAAGCCAGCATCTAACTGCAATGTCCTCTCTTAGAGCCAGCGTTAGCAGGAGAGAAGAATGGATGAGAGGCCAGCCAAACCTCTCAGGCTGCAGTGTCTACTGACTACCTAGTGAAGCAGTTGGGGCTAATTCCTTACCAATGCACCTTTTCTAAAGAGCATCATTTAGTGAAAAGAATTTGGCTAATAGAATTCTGGATGCTTGCATGAGGACTTCAAATGTCTGGAAGTAAGAGCAGTCCTTTCCCACTTCCTAGAGAGATATCTGGTGGCCAGTCTCCGGCCAGGTAAGATTTACAAAGAGAAAGGAATTCTCCATCAGTAGGCAGCTTCTGGGATACAGCTAAGGCTGTGTGCCTTCTTCCCAAAAGGACAGAAATATAGGTAACTGCAAGTGCAAATGTATCTGGATTTAAGTTTATTACAAATTATAAAACTTGAGTTCTTTGACTTCATTCCCAGTATCCCACTAAGCTATATATATATATATATATATATATATATATATATATATATATATATATATATATATTGGTAAGATGAAAATATTTTTCCAATATATCTAGGTTATACACTGGCAGTGAGGGTCAGCTATTCCTTCTAGATTGCCAGTTTTAATGTGTTTTCATAGGAAAGCAGCCTTATTCATAGCACTGCATTTTCAGTGGTAATCTTCCTTCAGACTCATCCACTGACAAATGAGGTCAAATTCTGTATTTAATCATAATTAATTGAAATAATTTTTTTTATTTCTACAAAGCAATTCTCAAAAATATATTTAGTTACATGCAAAAACTAGCAAAACTGTAAAGATGGTAGCATTTTAAGCACCAAGAAACCTTTCTAGATCACCTAATGACCACCCATTCCTCCCCTCACTTTACTGATCTAGGAAGAAAACAAAACCTACTCCATGAAATCAATGCTTGTTTTATCTACCAGACTTGGTGGCCAAATTGAAAGTCAGATTGCCTCTGGATTGTCACTCCATTTACTCCACTTTCCACAATTGTGGGAAAGCCTGCGGCCTGAGAGATTACATTTACTTTTCCCTGTCTTCAGTGACTTAGGCCATAATCACACGACAGATGCAACTGATCTCTGAGAACAGTCTTTAGTTCAGTTTAGTCTAACTGGCCTGTTGTTTAGTTACAGCCAGCTGACTAATTGATTTAAATCATGTGCACTGGAAGCTTTGGGTCTTATTAAAGTGCTGTACAGAGACCACCAAATCTCATGGGAAAGGACACAGCGAGCTCACTTGGAAGGAAAGTAGCACTCAGTACCCTTGAATGAAGCATATTTTGTAACTTGGATGCAGCAATTTTCTTTTTGGGGAATTCTCATGGAAGCACTCAGAGCTGAGCTATGAGAGGTGGGGAAGAAACCAATCTTCATATATGAGGGGTTGGTTTACATGGGAGGAGAACTGGAGAAGTTTTTAGAACATTCTTTCTGCCAAAGTCAATAACGTGATATTATAATAGCATAGTGTTCCTTACCCTTGGAAATCATCATTTATTTTAAGACACACAGCTTAAAATTCTGGAGGATCCCTAACTTATTTATTTTCTGTGAATAATGCATCACAAAAAAATTCTTCTATAAGCTCTTTCTTATCTTCTATTAACCCAAGTGATTTTCATCTGGTTTTATCTTTTATCATTAAAATAGATTACCACTATATTTCTTTTAACCCCTCAAAAAATACAAGATCATACTCTTCTAAAAACTGGTATCAAAAGTAATCTGTTTGTTTATCCAATTTTACCTGAAAATAATGTAAAACAGATTTCATTTCTTAAAAGGCAACTCTTTTGGGTATACAGTCTTAAAATTCATCTGATTTTAATTCTTCTTGTTTTAAAACTCCTATAATGCTTAGGTTGTATTACAAAGTGTCAGATTTTTGTTGTGCCTGTGTATGTTGGGATTGGGTTGGGGGAGGGTATGACAACTCCTGCTCATGGTCACGGAACATGAAACTATCATTCAAACAATCTCACACACAAAAAAAATTGATTTGCCTTATGATATGCAGGCAATGTTTTCAACAGCTCTGACACATAGCTGTCAAGTCTTAAGAAGTTGTCAACACGTGGGCACTTCTCCCTGGCAAGCTGTCCTTGACTCTAGTGAGGGGGAGAGGGGGCATCTATGTGCACAGAACTGCCTCTACATGATTCTACGACCCTCTTCCAGGTCTCAGATCTATTATCATTCCACCAAGTTGCAGGGTTACTGGGAGTTGGGATGTTACTAATGAGAGAACAGAAAAGGTCAGCTGAAGAAACAACAACACAGTCATCACTGAATTTGGACAGAAAACTGTTTAGACAACAATGCTGCTGTGAATGAAGAAAACATTTGCTCTTAGGCAACCTGAAAAGAGCAGAAAAACTCCTTCAGAGTCCTGCCAATAAATCACAGGACCACAGCTGCGTTTGGTAAACAGACCGGGATGAATGTTGCTCATCGTGTGGATGGACGTTAACTCACTGGAAGAAAGCAGGGAATGCGCCTGAAAGTTAGGTGGCCCCGGAAAGGAGAGAAAACCCAAAACCTTTTCCTTCTGATATTCCTTTAAAGAGGTAGAAAAGGTAACTGGCCCCGAAGTCCCTCTCAAGGATGTGTTACCATATCACATACAGACTTAAATGAAATGCTTACCTGTGAGAGTTACTTTAGAAGGCTATAGAGATTGAGAAAAACCTAGGCTTTCAAAGGCAGCTCAGATTAATGTTCCCAGCATTTACTAGCTGTGTGACCTTGAACACATATACATTTGTTTCTCTCTGAGCTTTAATTTCTAACCCATTTACTCCTAGCAATACTGTGTCAACTAAATGAAATGATGTACCTGGAAGCATTTGATAAACTATAAAGTATCCCACAAGCAGTATATCATTTTAGTCTCTGACAAGAATTATGCTGAGTCGCCAAGATCAAGGCTGTGTTCCTGGTGTTCAGAGCTCTATCTCCAGTGCCCAGGACAGTGCCTTGAAAACAATGGGTGCGCCATAAATACCGGTTGAACAAATGATTTTTTTTAATTGCTCCGTGTATTTGGAATAAATGGAGCAAGAATCATGTAAACAAATTTTAATAACTCAAGTATATAACCCTTGTTTTCTTTAACAAATAGCATTTTCCTCATTGTTTTCATCTAAGAAGGGAAACAGGGAGAAATTGCTTGGTCAATTTGCATATTTACCTTTTAAAATTCTAAAATAAATAGATTCCTCCTTTGCAATGAAGAGAAAAAGGAAAAAAATCTAAAAACTCAGCCATCAGCTATCGATTGGCAGTTTAATACAGGCTCCTTTTAGTTTTGTTTTTTAATTGTGGTGATGTCTGGATTAACGCTGAGAAGTAAAATGTAGGGCTATCCCAATGTATCTGAGTGTTTAACACATTTTCATTTTGTCTGGTGGAATGGACATTTGGCACTACGCACTTTTGTCAAAGCCAAATCACTGTATGATTTTAAGTAGAGGGAACTGGCGTTCCATAGCTTAGTGCACTGAGCATGCAATCTGTTTCTGATACACAGACTAAGAAATGTTACCTTTAACCACCCAACACGTACTCTCAGGTGGGCCATAAAACGCAAATTACAGGGATCGGGAGATTTAAGCCATCATGAACAGAGGCCTTTCTTTCATTCAGAAAAAGTAAATGCTTCTTCAGTAGGAAAATCCCCTGTTGAGCAGATTCACAATATCTTTTACGTAGTGTTTGCCAAGACCAAGTCAGTGTGCTTTAACAACTATATAAACTCATTCTCTGGAGATGATTGACTATGAAAAATAAGGCCCTTGAGTGTCAAGTGCATAGGGGGAGAAAATAAAGGCAACTAACATTGAATGCAATACTACTTGGAACAAACCATGAACATGGATTAAGGTCTATTCCTAATTTGTCCTTTGGAAGAATACATATATTAATAGCAATGTTCCTTTTGTTGGCTGGATGGTTTTAAATTTGCTCAGCGTGCCTGTCTGCAATTGTATGGTATCAGTGAAATAAAAATGATCAAGTCAACTCTATTGTTCAGGTGTTGTGAACTATGGACACATAAGAAAACCCAACGTAGTTAGGGAACCTGTGAATTTTCTCTGCAGGAAAGAATATGTAGTATGGCCAAATGACTAAAAAATATCCAAGTCGTTATGACAAAAGACTTTCTAGAAGTGACATTAGAAGTGAAATCAATAAAGTTCATCCTACAAATGTTGCAATAGCTCTTACCTTGCTCACAAAGTGCACCAACATAGCTGGGAAGGCAGAGGCACCTGAACGTATTAAAGCCGTCAACACACGTGGCTCCATTGCGACAGGGGTTAGAGTGACATTCATCAAAGTCTGAAATAAAATCATAAAAGGCCACAAAAGAACTTTCAAAAAACAATCCAAGGATTCTAATTACTGTGAGGCTGCTAGGTAAAATACGAGATAGCCAGTTAAGTTTGAATTTCAGATTTAAAAGAAAAAGGTTTTTAGTATAAGTATGCCCCATTTTATATTTAGGATATACTTAGAGTGAAAAATTATTCTTTTTTTAATCTAAGATTAAAGTGTAACTAACCTTCTTATATTTTTATTTGCTAAGTATCTGGGAACTCTAAGAAAATTTCACCAATTTAGAGGAGGATCACTGTGTCCGTTTCTTTTAGATGAGTCACATGAGCCCTAAAATGGATCAAGTTTTAATCTAGCCTACCCACTCCCTATCCTGGTTCATGCTCCAATTTCCTCACTCCTGAAATACTGAAAATACCTGGCAGGCCTCCTACATCCTGGGCCCTTCCCTCTCCAATATATCCCTCACTCTGAGATGGTCGCTTTCTTTGGACACAGTCATAATTTTACTCCTTGGCTTTCAAACATCCCATAGATCCCAGCTGCCCAGGACAGGTGTCTCAGAGTGTGGTCCTGGGACCAGCTACAGCAGCATCACCTGAGGATGGTAGAAATTCACACCCCCAGGCTCACCCCAAATCCACTGAATCAGATACTGGGGCTGGGATAATAACAGTCTGTATTTACCCAGCCCCCCAGGAAACTCTGATGCACACTAAAGTCTCGGAATCACTCAACCAGAGTATGAGGTACAACTACTGAGCTATTATTTTAAGACAAGCACTCTTTCAATACGAATGTTGGAGATTTTATCCCAATATTTCTGTGAGCCTTCTTTACTCAGTCATTAAGAGAAAAGCATTCTGTTACCTCTAAAAGAAGCACCTGACTGATAGAATATTCCATCGTTTCTTTCATCAGACATATGAAACATATTGGTCTACAATTAGCCAAATTGGTCTACAATTAGCCAAATTTAAAAGCCATCAACACACGTGGCCATCAGAGACAGTCTTGCCCTAGCTGGTTTGGCTCAGGGGATAGAACATCGGCCTGGGGACTGAAGGGTCCCAGTTTTAATTCCAGTCAAGGGCACATGCTCGGGTTACTAGCTCAGTTCCCATTCGGGGGCCTGCAGGAGGCAGCCGATCAATGATTCTTTCTCATCATTGATGCTTCTATCTCTCTCTCTCCCCTTCCTCTCTGAAATCAATAAAAATATGTATATATATATATATATATATATATATATATATACACATATTTTTAATGGAGTCTTTTTTTTTTAAGAAAAGGAAATCTAAATAAGAATGAGAACAAAAGGAACTGATTTGGTAAGAACACAGTTATATTCTTTGTAACTAGAAAGAGAGGAGGAGGCCTGCAATCCATACCTCCTGGAGGTGAAGGCAGGGGAGGCTGGCTGCAGGGGACAGCCAGGAAAGGCTTTCTCCATTTCACAGCAGAGGAGCAAGTCATCTCAAAATGTTACAGCCAAACTCCCTCATTTCAGCTTTGAAAAAAATTGCTGTATTTACATTGATTATTTATTGATATTCAGATTTGGGGGATAAAGTAAAAAAAATTGTTAATATTTATGCAACTTTACATTTGTAGGAAGCCTATCTGTAAAATCAACAAAAAGACATAGCTGACCTGAGTAAGTTTCACTGAGTCTTGGGTATATTAACAAAATTCAGTCACCATCTGGCCCCATTTCCCATTAAGTCTCTATGCTTATTAAGTCTCTATGACTTTAACTTCATTGAACATATAATTCACCTACACATGGATTTCTCTGAAATCCTCTGATTGATTCAAGCAATATAAATACCCCCCAATATATCTTTTGTAAAAGCACTACACCCTTTCAGGCAAAGACATCTTACCAAGTTCACACTGGTCCCCAGTGAATCCCGGCACACAGGTACACACATAGGAAGTTTCAGTCGCATAGCAGGTGCCTCCATTGAGGCACGGGTTCGTTTTGCAACGATCAAGTCCTATTGTGTTCAGGAAAATAAGAAACGCAATTAGGCCCATCTCTGACTCTCAATGTATTTTAGCATTGCTACCCTGACGTATAAGCTTTACTGTAGCAATTTATTGCTACCCTGACGTATAAGCTTTACTGTAGCAATTTAGAGATACAACACACAAAATTTAATATAGACTTTACTCTCTGGAGTGTTTCTTGGCATAACTAATTATTACAAATTGGATCTAGTCATTTCTAGGATTCAATCATCATTCTTTTTCAACAATATTTTTTGCACAGTATCTGGCAACTAAGATAGTCTACTGCAGATTTAGTTGGCATGATAATGGCAATTGATTTTAGTAAAAAATGATTACACGTATGTGCACAGTGAATGGAAATGTATTCTTTTACACGAGGTTAGTTCATGTGAAATGGCTGGATAACACAGAACATGCATTCTTTTTAGCAGATTGGCTTGTTACCATCATTTGAATTATTATTGCCTTTTACCACTTAATGCTCAGAAACTTTTTCTTCGAAAGTGTGCACTGAAGTCTCTTCTGCTACATTAATATGCTTTTTCCAAAAACACGTTCCAAATGTACTCCTTTAGACTATACTTAAAGAAAAGCAACACATGGATTAAACTCTACTGTATAAAAACAAACCCAAACACAAAAACCTCATCTAACATGAAACCCCCAATTTTTATTAAAATTTTTCTCATTAAAACAGAAATAAAGTCAGCATTCCTAGCCAATAAATATAAAGACCAGAGCCACAAATTTATGAGGAAAAACAGCTTTAAAAATGTTTTTATACGGCAAATTCGAATACTTTTACACTTTTTGAATCACATATTTTATTCTGTAACAATTCTTGAATAATTGTCTTTATATTAATAGCTTATATTTATTAGAGTTTGAGTATTTTTCTAGAGTTGCCTGTTTCAAAATGTTCAAGAATCCAAATAATGGTTTAAAGTTTTACAAAGTAATTGTGATAAATAGGTTACATATGAGCTACAAGTTATGTTCAAGAATCTTAAGACCCATAACCCTGAAATAATTTCACATGAAAAGAAGACCGTCTGCTTATGAAACATGAACTTCAGGAACATTAGGACAAAGAAGGTACTGCTAGCAGTAGAAGATAACTGAGTCTCTTTCATATAGGAAACTCAAACAAACTCTCTGAGTGTTAAGTAAATTCTAGACTGCTAGAAAGACTTGACAAATTCATATTTGCATGTGTGGGTTCAACTTTAGGTTAATTCAGATGCTTATACCAACTTCAAAAACTATCCCAATTCTTCTAACATTCTTTCTCATGTAGTCCTAAAAATATTTAAAAGCTCCCTAGCCATTTTAGCCTTTTGCCTTTCAAAGTACTCTGCATAGATGATGAGGCTATGGTCAACAGCACATCTACACACTGCCCTCAGTGCAAAACCAACATGACACTTGGGAGAAGGCGCTTGGTGAAACTGTGATGTGCCATATAAACGTGATGCACTATTATTATTCCCTCCCCAGACACCAGATACCACGCTGAGAGTATGAGACAAGGGCTTGGCAAGAAAGTGGGTCTTTCTGTAAACACAAAGTAGCTTAAATTAGAAAAAAACTATGTTTATGATTTTTATTCTTCTGTACACAGTTCGAGTTAATCTCTGAAAGAACAGGCAATACAGTACAATAGTCCAGTTACTGAATTAACCTAATGTGATGATCTGTTTTACAATGACGCAACATTAATTCTAGGTAAACACTGTGGACTGGATAACTGGTACGTATCTCTTAATCATTTGTCAAACTTAATTCTCTCTCAACATTACCAATGACTCCTATATCATATTTTCATCAACCTGAAGTATATTGAAACTAAATTACAAAGGGATAAATGTTGGCCAGATTACTTGCTGATCATTTACTGATTAAATATAGAATGACAACAAAAATGCATCGGCCACCTTTGATCAATTTTATTCATAAAACAGTTCAAATCATTTATAAAAAGTTACATGCTATGACCATTTTACTCTATCTGAAGCACAACAAACTGAATTGGCACAAAAGATAATAGTGCAATGTTTAGAAGAAGAATTCTAAGTGTAGCCATGCTGTAAAGCATATTCATTAAAATAAAACTTATTTTGAACCAACATAGTCTTTAAAGTGCTGATACTTTGTTGTTGTTGTTTGTAGTGGCTAGGTGGTGATGGTTACTTTTGGATTCCATTGAAAATGTTATTTAAATGATGTTCCAGAAAACACCATTGCAACAGACTTCTCAACATTATTAGGCTAGAGTAAAATGAAAATAAGTTCTACAAAATGAGTAGTCTAAGATTTCTGGTTTACATATCATTAACTATCAATTATCCACTTTTGTGCTATAATAATAGGAAACCAGCTAAGAGCAATGGAAAGACAGTGGACTTTGAATGGGACTGATCTTGGTTCAAATCCCACTTTTCCATGTTTGTGGCTGTGCAACCCTGGGCAAATTAAAGAACTCTTAAAACGAGGGAAAGCTGTACATGCTATATAGCCTTTTCGTGAAGATCAGACGAGACAGTCTATATGACCTAGTATAAAATTCATACTTTCTGTTCATTCATTAAAAAAAAACACACAAAAAAAACAGAAATCCTCTCTTGACTGACGGAGCTCGAATAAACACTAAATAAATACCCACTGAGTTAGAAGCATTGTGTGGACTACCTGAGGCAAGAAAATTGAATAAAAGTATAAATGGATAACTGATATTGCATGAACTATGTGAAATGTTTATTAGCGCTATTTACTACTGTCAAATTTTAAAGGCCTGACAAATTTTGATATTATCATAATAGCATTTTTCATTAAGAGATTTTTAAGAATATATTTTGTTTCTGTGTTTAAAACTAAGATGTGTGACTATGATACATATGACAAAATAATACTTGTGAGTAGAATGACAATGAATTTTTATACCACCAATATGATATTTTTTCCATGGTGCAATTATACATTTTTCTAAAACCCAGGAAAATAAAAGGAACATCTATAAAGCTCGAAAATGATCTATTCTTGCTTTCTTTGCCTCTTATTATGGACTCAAAACTGTGTGCTGATCTACTGTTATGTGAACAATACAGAAATCTCCACTGATTTAACATCACAATAAAAATTACATAGATATACATATGTAAGGACCAAGGGACTGTTTCCGCATTTGGAAACAGATTTATCAATGTCGTGACCTTACCTGGTAAATAGACTGCTGTGCCTTCCACTGACTCTTCATTCATGTCAATCAGGAAGCCGGTTTCATTAGAAGCTTCCAGAAGGTAAAGTGGTGGTGTTGGAAGTGAAATCTTTAACTCTGCAGTGCGCACTGTTGTTGCCTGAGAGTTGGAATCAAGAATTCTTGTTGACGCTTGCTGTCCCCATGCTGTCACTGTGGAATCCTGCCCTCCGGTCAAAGCTGCCTGCGTTTCAGAGTTTATTTCCAGAGAAGGAACCGTGGGCTTCTCAGAAGTCTGTGGGCTGGTCTGAGGCACCACACCTGCCCCAGTCCCAGTGGTTGCAGAAGCTGAAGTAGGGTGTGGCCCCAGTGTAGCACCTTCTGACTTAATTTCACCTGCAGCCGTGACAATGGTTTCAGCCTCAGGGGTTCTCACACTAGAAAATACTTTGGTTGTTTCTCCAGAAAGTTGAACATTGGTTTTGTTTGGGGAATCTTGGAGAATCTCAGATCCTTCTTCAACAATTAGTTCTGTGGGAAAAGCTTCCATTTGTTCTAAAAAGTTGGGTTTCGTTTCGTCTTCTGAAGATTCTGGCTCTGCAGCAACAGGTGAGAATGGAGGCCCAGTTATGTGACTGTACGCTTCACTTGATGGTTGGAAAGTCACCTCAATATTTGCCAGTTTTCCTAGGGACATTTGAGATGTGCCAGGATCTACACTGGGCAGAGCACTCGACGGGGGGCTCTCTGTGTGTTCAGATGTTCCACTGCCTAAGGGCACAGTGAACGGAGATGATGTCTCAGGGGACAGCTTCACAAAGTCCAACACTGGTGATGTTGTATCTGTGTAACCTGGGGGATTTGATCCTTCCACCACATGAGGTGCTTCTGTTAAACTCTGAGATGTGAGGTGGACAGTACCAATACTTACATGGGGTGTAGAATCTATTAGTGCCTCCCCAGCTCCTGAAGACAATTCTGGCTGAAAAGAAGGACCAACATATTTCTTCTCTTCATACTCTTCCTGTGTCCTTTCCAAATGACCCGATGTTGATATTACTTCACTTTGGTCAGCAATAGCTTGACCATCAGACAAAGTGCTTGATTCAAATATGTCTTCCAGGGCTTTAGCTTCAGTTTTTGGTTCTTCGATATTTGGGCCAACTGTGACAGACTTACTAGGAATGGGTAGGGATGTTGCTGTGGGAAGAAAAATATCTAATTCTGTTTCTGTGCTTGGGATGGGGATCCCAGTTGGGAAAATAAAGCCCATGTAATTGAACTGACTTCTGTCTTCAGAAGTTATGGATTCATTATGTGCTGCCTGAGTGTAGCTAGCCAGAAGAGCATCACCAGAACTTTCAAATGGTTCCACAGTTAAGGATAGGTTGGCAGCTGCTTCGTGCTTCTGTTGAATTTGAGCGCTGTCTTCGTTATTGACCTGTAGACCTGACGGTGTCTCTGGGTCTATGTCCGTTTGCATTCCAAGGATGTCTTCATACATGGGTTTAGTGTGATCAATATCTATGATAGTATTTTTATCTGACGTGAGCTCAGGTAGAATTTCAAGTATGGTACTCTCTGTAATTGTCAATAACAAATCCTTGTCCTCTTTGTCCAGATCTATAATAATATTTTCAGTGGCTTTTTTTCTGTCAGGTTTTAAGGTGGAATCCTCAAATCCCCCCAAATGGTGATGGAAACTATCTGCACTCTCGGTGGACTTCTTATATGACACTGTGTTGGACACTGTGATTGTTGGATCTGGGGAGCTTTCATTCTGCTCTAGATGAAGAGATGGCACTATTGAGCCTGTTGGAAACCCGTCAACAGTAATGGTTTTAGCACTTGGATCCTCAGGATGTTTCTCCAGGGGCCTATTAGGAACATATGTGGTGCTTCCTTTTCTGGTTGCCTGAGTAGTTCCAGAAGTGTGGACTAAGTCAACTATATCCAGTTCCCCAGATCCTTCTCCGGAATATTCATGAAACAAGTCAGATGGTTTTGTTGTGGGTATAACAGATCCTCTGGCCATTCCAATACCAGAAGTTTTAGCCAGAAAGTCAGCAGAAGAGGTTATTGTTTCTCTAGTTTCTGCTACTGAAGAATTCTTGTTAGAGATTTCCTCAGTGGTAGGTTGTGGTTGACTAGTCTGAATTTCTTCTTCCCAACTCTGAGTCTGATTTTGAGGCTGTTCAGTGTCTGCAGAGAAGGTGAGAGTTGCTAAAGATGGTCCTTCCGTTCTGGTGTCCCTTAAAATTTTTAATAAAGTTGTGCTGGATGCTGTCTCACTATATTCAGAGATGTTGTCTGTTTTAGAAATGAGTAGTCCAATTTCACTTGCCACATTTTCCATTCCCTCATAGTCTTCAGTGGGATCACTTGAGATGCTAGTTTCTAAGCTGTCAACTTGAGAAGCCTTGGGATATAATGTGCTAATGATTTGTTCCATTTCAGTAAAATTCACTGACACTGTGGTAGGCAAAACTTCTTCTCCTGATCCCAGGCCAGAGAATAAATTAGTATCTGACTCTTTAATTACTGGCTTCATAACTTTGGGGAAGGGTTTTATATTTTCTTCCTCTTTGATTGATGAATCTGTAACTATACTTCCATCTAGTATAGATTTAGTCACTGAGGTAGTAGCCAAGAAAAAATGGGATTTTTCAGTAACTTCAGGGAGAGTAGTGTAGGATTCCAAGTCCTTTGCTCCTGGATCTGGAGTAGACATGTCAACTACGAAAGTGCCTTCCTTTTCCATTTCCTCATCAGCATCATAAGTTTTCTTTGTTGTTAGTATAGAGTAATCTGCGGTTGGAAATCCAGTTTCATAAAAAATGGTTTGCTCTGGTGCAACAGAGCTTTGGGGGGATTCAAAATATATTTGTTCTTGAATCTTTTCCTCTGTTGTTGTTTTGATTTCAGTTTCTTGTCCTACAGTAGTAACTCCTTGCCTGGACCACAGTTTGGTTGGCTCTATCATCTGGGAAAAGTCCACTGAAACTGTGCCATCAACCTTCACATCCCCCTTTTCTGTTGGAGCTTCAGTGCCTTCAGCTTCTGCTCTTGGTAAACTGGTGGCTCTCTTATCAGCTTCTTGAGTCGTACCTTCTTCTCCCAAAACGTGGTCAACAAATGGAGATTCTGTACCAAAAACATTCCCCACGGCACTGGGAGACACTTGGTCAGCAGAGCTGCTGACTGAGACCACTTGCTCACCTGAGCCCTCACCTGAGGCTGTGAACTCTTCCCAAGGGAAGGCTGAAGTGCTGACAAAGCTGCCACCAGGTCCTTCTGAGTCAGCTGTGTGATTGATGTGGCCTGAAGTAGGGATTAACGATGGTGAAACCTGGGTATCTTTAAATGCTGCATCCCCAGAGCCTTCCATCATTACTGTTTCTTCTTTTGTTACGATTTTAGAAACCGTCGAGTATTCTCTGAAGTCACCACTGAAGTCTTCCTCCAATGGAAAATCTGTAGAGAAGCCCTTTATTTCTGTCACATGATTTGATTCTACTGAAACCTCCGACATAAGGCTTTCCTTGGATGTTTGGCTTATAACTTCAGCAACCCCTCTGTCTGTTACATTACTCAAATCTAGTCCTGGTGGCTCAAAAGGTAATATAGTTTCCACATGGGGAGACATAGTATTAGCTATTTCCTTTTTAACTTGAATTTCAGGCTCTACTTTTAATGAAAAGAAAGGAACAGTGGTAGTTGCTGGGTCAGTGGCAGCTTCTCTTGAGCCCTGCTCCATAGAGAGAGAGCTGGGGCTACTTGGCACAGTGGCCTGTCCTTCCTGAACCCCAGGTTGACTGCTACTGCCGGTCTTGGTGGTCTGCGTCCCCAGATTGTCTAAAACATCCGTTTCTGGAAAGAAAGGATTAGAACTTGTCATTTCCCTTTCAGACTGTGTGGATGTTGTTAAGTACATGACACTGTTCCTGGCAGCAGATGCTGAATCACTCGATGTAGCTTCATTTATGTTTTCTAATGCAGAGGATAAAACTAACTGGTCTGATCTCTGTGTAGGCATATGTAGCTGAACTGTAGAAGCTGTAGTTCCTTCCTCCTCACCTTTCCTTTGCTTTCCCTCAAGAGACGTACTAAAAGCCCACTCAATCGTGTCTGTTTCCTGTACCAATTTTGTGGGCACTACTTCTGTAGAAGGTTGTTCAGAAATTAAGTAAATGGCAGTTGCAGGGACATCAAAAAAGTTGTCTGTGGTCATTGTTTTGCCAGTGTCTAAAGTAACCAGTGTACTGGTAATATTTCTTTGTGATAAATGGGTTACCTCGGTGAACATTTGATCTTTATCTTCTTCTTCCCCAGAGCCTTCTAGAATCAGAATTGAAGGATTCCCAGAGAGCGCTACAATTTGTCCAGGGGTTGTTTCTACCCAGTTTTCCATAGTGGCCAATGGGTCAACAGGCCTGTGGTTTCCTGTTAATGTGACTGATTCTTCTTCCAACACATTTTCTGACATAGAACTTGGAACTGTACTTGGAATATAGGTGACAGAAGTACTTTTTTCTGCCTCTTCACCAAGTGTTACTTCCGTGGTCCTTGAAAAGATCATTTCTGAGGATTCTTGGTTGACCTCAGCATCTCCTGAAGACTCTTCAGAAGAGAGGGATCCAGGTTCAGTATGTTCAAGCACCAGATTATAATGCTCAGGCTCAGGACCTTTATCCGAGACTGATTCTGGTCCCTCTGTGGTTTGGCCCTTGTGTGATGATGGGACTGTAGGGAAAATATCAGGCTCACCACTTGAAAAATGTTCTGGTGTTTCAGGGTAAGTCTCAGGCTTCCATGTCATTTCAAGCGATTCTGTGGTTTCTTTAGATTCACTTGGCTGCACAGCAATAGATGATTCCCTTTCAGACATGGGAAACTCAGGGGTGTCACTCTCACTGCTGTCTGAAAAATTCTGAGAAGGTGCAACACTTTCAAACTGGCCACGCCTAGCTTCTGCCGCCTCTGGGTCCTTGGGCACAGTGGTGACTAGGTGTTTCCCATTTATGTACTGCACTGATGGGGTGGTCGTGACATCAGTAGCATTTGCACAGTCTTCGTCTTCTTCCTCGTCTTCCTCACTGTGGTATATATCTATGTCAATTAACTCAGGTAAAATGGCAGCAATTAGGTCGTGCTCTGAATCTGTTTCTTCACTACAAGGTTCATCTTCTTTAGATTCTGAATCTATTGGATGACCAATTACACTCAAATCACTCATTCGACCTGAAAAAAACAAAGAGTTTTCACAATACTTAAATAGAACAGTTGGCAGCGTATGACAGAAGAAACTGATAGCAAGGCTTGCAGATCACTCACACACAAGGGAGGATTCAAATATTTTAACATTAAGTACAATCATCCTTCTATACATAATTATCGGTCTTCAGAGTCGCTGTTTTACATTAACAATGGGAAAAAATAAATAATCCAACTTAAGATGATAGAAACAAGGTATAAAAATTCTTTAACACATTTAACAATGCAGCATTGTAAAATGAGACAAGAAAGCACATATATACATTGTAATTGTAATCGTGACATGCGGAAATTCATCTTTGTGTGAACTGGAAAAAAAATTTTTTTTCACCAAATCATACAGAAAAAAAGTAACTGATTATTGTCGTTCATGTAAAGGGATGCACAGACACCCTTACTCAGTGAGGAAATGAGAAGAGGTTGCTTCTGGGCAATCGTGTCATGATTTTTCCTAAAGAAGACCTTTTAGAAAATTAGAGGCGATGTAGCCCTTTCACAGCGCAGTGACCACCCCTCTCAAAGCAAGTGAGACTAAAGTTAGCTGCCTAAACTGCAGCCACCTCCCAGACACAAGGGGGAGATGCAGGGGAGCCTGGGATGGGGCGCCGTGTGCATGTGCACAGAGAGTTCCCAGAAGCTTAAGAGAGGAAGAGCCCTCCACACTTTTACACCTTTATCCTTCATGACATGACTGAGAATGGGTCTATGACAGTTCTTTTTAAAATATTTCCTCCAAAGGAAGTTTAAGAGTCCCATCTAAACATTTGAGCTAGCATATTTTAATAACAAATGTCCTTAGAATATTCCCTAGATCACAAATTGCCAGGGGGTACAAACTACCTGGTTGACTTTTCTGCCTCCAGCGAAGGTCCTTGTCTGGGCACCAGGAAGGAGGAAATTCTGGGCCCTCACTCTCATTAGAGTGGAACTCAGTTGTCCTGGGAAAGGGTCCTGTCCCTACAGCTGCTCTACTCCTAGCATCACAGCCACTTGCAAAGGTGCCCATGTGTGCATTGACCCATGAAGAAGAAAGAGAAAAGCAAGGAGGATTGCACAGTCTCACTCCCTACCCTCAGGAATACTGTTGCAAATTATTTTCAGCCTCGCCCTGATCCATGCCACAAATGCTCAGGCTGAGCCTGAGAAGCTTACAGGGAAAATAATGACGACGGAACCACACCTGTCCCCATCGGTAAGGAGATCCTTGCTGTTGTAAGACGCTGCTCCCTTCTACATATGGAAGACCAACATCTAGCATTTACTGACAGTCAGAAAAGAGGGGAGCAATGAAGGGGAGGTGGGGAAGGAACATTTGTAATAATCTGAACAATAAAGATTTATTTAAAAAATAATAAATAAATAAATAATAAAACTAAAAAGAAAAATAAAGAAAAGAAAAGCCCGATCAAGAGGGAACCAATATTGCTTACATCAACATAAACACAGACATATATGAACTATCAATAAAAATTCTAAAAAATTTCTTCTGTTTTTAACTATGATTTGTAAAAAAAAAAAAAAATGCACAAGACCTTTATGTAGCTAAAAGACATCTACTATATTTACATTTACCCTTTTCACTCCAATAAAAACAAAAAAGAAAGCTTCTCTGTATCCCATCTTCACGGTATGATCTCCATAAAATACTATTATGTAGGTTTGGCTTATTCTTACCCCAATTATACATCCTTACTCATTAACTGTCACATATTACAGTCCATTTTTTATATCTCAATCCCATCCTCTACCATACATCCAGCCTTTTAACTATATAAATGATGGCTTATGGATATTCAAATAAATGAAAAAAGTATTTCATAGGAGAAGTGAAGTCAATGCATAACGCTAGTGTATTATAAAAATATAAATGGAATACAGATGATTTCTGGCATAGGTTTTGCTACTCTTACTGCCAAACAAGAAAATGACTAAATGCCTTACCTTTTTCCAAAAAGCATAATCTGAGTAAGATTGGTCAATACTGCATCACTAATGATACAGTGATCTCATAGTGCCTCATATGTATATGTTTTAAAAGAGGACACAATAAAATTTTCAGGTAATAACACTTTAAATGACTTGTGGTAAAGGCTACCTTTTCACTATGAAAAACGAAATGAGAGAGAAATAGGCACACGTGTGAGAGAGAATACATTTTAAATGCCTTTTGTAGGAATTAATCTCTTGAAATATTACATCAATAATTTTATCTAATCATCAAATTAAGTAGCCTCTCACTGCTAATACTATTTGAACATAGTTGAATTACACTATTTTGCACTTTATAGATTTAACTGGAGCCTCAAAAACATGCCTGTATTCATGTTTGTATCTTCAACCCTGTCTTCACGTTTATATCTTTATTTAGGTATAAATAAAGCTAAAATTCTCATTAAGTATCACACCACAGGCACTAAATTCACACAGTAACTTTCACTTGAATACAGAAAGAATTTTAAATAAGAAACATGGATCTGTGTCAAGAATACAAAGAATCTCCACCACATTCTGTACCTTTATATCAATAAGGAGATAAAACTAACCAGCCACGCTACTCCAGCCAAATGCAAGGATCAATAAAAAAATAGTGTATTATAAAAATATAAATGGAATACAGATGATTTCTGGCATAGGTTTTGCTACTCTTACTGCCAAACAAGAAAACTGTTCAATATTGTTTATTTGTAAATTCTTGGCCAGGAATAGGAAAACGTATTGTTATTATAGAATTTGTATGGGTTTCTAAATAAATTCCTTACATTAAAAAATTTTATTTAAGAAAACAAAACATATAAACATATACCATGAATGTCTTGGTGAATAATTATAGAGGAGCTTCCATCAACTATGATGTTGGTATCTCTAAAAATAAGTAGAGTGAAGAAAAGCAAAGAAAAAATACTAAGTTTATTAGGGTGTCAAATATTAACTTGTCAAAGAAACTGACACATTATGATGTTTGTTTAAACGTTCTACCAAAGAATCAATAACTTTTAAAAAAAAAGTGTTTTTCTAGAAGAACTCTAATTGAGAATAAACAACTTATGTAATAATTTGATTGGCTATCAACTCTTATTAATTCAATTAAATAAAGACCCTGGCATTCACCTTACATTCTCTACTTTTAGCTCCAATGAACAAAGATTAACATTCCTTGAGTCCATTTTCCACTTGGATCATGAATTCTAACATTTCTGATTATTCATTAAACTATAAAGATTTCCCCTAGCACGTTAAGCCATCATATCAGAATATTTCACCAAAGACTCAATCGTTAGGTGTAGTATGTTCCATTTCCTAATCTAAATAAACATCACAATATTTCAAACACAGTAATATAAACATTGCTTGTTCTTCATAAACACACTCAGCTTCATACTTGTTTCGCACAGTTTTAATTCACTACCAAAACCATGCATGTCACCCAACTGTATTATTTCTTCAGGAGCCAATTGATCGCACAAAATTTACTGAGTACCTCTTATCTACCAGATGGTATAACAGATATTTGCCTACTAACTTTATAGAGACCTAAGACTTCCAAGGTATCTTCCAACTCTCTCTCACCCTCTTGGGAACAAATGCTATTGCCAATAGGTTAGAGAAAGGACCTTACTAAATTCTTCTCAAGCTATTTTAAAAGGGAACATTTGAGTGTACATAAGGCAAATGCTCCAAACATTACATTTAAACTGTAATTTCTTTTTCCATCTGCCTCCAAAGTATCAGCTCTCACTTGCCTTTACAATAGTATAAAACACTGAATGATTTTAAGCTTCTTTATCTTATTCTTCTCACTCTACCACAAAGCTGGCAATGACTAAAGAACTATCAGCACATCATAATAGTGATTTAAGAGAAAAGATTTATTTTTAAAAGTGTTCTATCTAGAAATTATTAAATAAGAGATAAAATGATAGCTGAAATTATTGTGTGTCCTTTTTCTTAAAGGAATATTCTCACAATTAAGCAACGTTTTTGTCAACTTCCAAATGGTTCCATTGGATTTCTTAATATTGGTTTTAGGGTTCAGGAACTGTTGAAAGCTTAGGCATTGAAGTTAATTTTTTTTCTGCCAAAAGATTCTCTACAGGTCAATTTATATATTTATCTCAGTATAGCCAATTTGTTCTCATACTTTTAAAAGTTTTTAAATTTTGAAATCTTTCTAGTGGAGACAGGTGAATTCTTTCTGCCACTGGTCTCCTGTCATTGCTGCCTTTCGTCTATCCCCTACTCCTATTTGCTCTCCTTAGTTTCGTCAGCTGCTGAAATTACTTCTTCATTCCCCTGTCTTATCACTACACCTCCCACCCACCACACACATTATCCGAAAGCTGCAAGAGCTATAATTATTGCAAACTGGCAAAGTCTCTTTGTATTGTGTGGCAGGAGGAGAGGGGGGCATCTGTGATAGTGTAAATGAAGGTATATCATTGAAAATTGTGATCTGCTCTCCGTTGTACTAACAGTGCACCCTAACAGAGTAATTAATATTCCCACCTCTTGGGTGGACAAGTTCTTATAAAAGGCTGCTGTATTTTAGAATTTTATTCAAAGAGTAATATAACTTTTATTTGGATTTCAAGAGTTAAACCACAGAACTCTACACAGTGTATGTATAATCTTTTCTATGTTTATATGAGTGTATTTTAACAGCTTGACTTGAATATACTGGTACCACGGTTAATAGATTATTTTAGTGCCCTTTCACACAAAGCTTTATTGCTAGCTGACCTCAAATTATTCAGCAAATATTTTGAAGTGCTTCATGGTAAAGTTTTGTAGACATAGCACAAGTCTCCCTGTCATTCTGTTAGCAGACACAAAACATAATTGCTAAGATGCATAGGCAGCTGGCTCAAGTTCATGTTCTTTTCAGGGGATTTTACAATTTAAGTTTAAGAGCTTTCAATGAAATGTAAGCATATAGCAATCTACTCAGCAGGAATATATTAGTATCACAT